GAGAAAAATTAACGTGACGTGAGTTTTCAATAATTTCTGTTATGAAACAGCGCTTATTCATGCTAATTCAATCTTATGACATGCCGAATTTCAACAATCCCATAAGTTGATGAATGCCCATGACGCAATAATATCTGACATATTCATCTCGAACGAACAATAATCTCCTTTCATATTTCACTGAACGAAAGCAACAAGAGAGCATTGTTACAAGCTATGATTGGATGCTTTATTGTTATCAAATTGCAAAATGAATCATTCATGAAAATGAACAATGAGTTCACATGCATGGGAATTTTTTCGGAACGCAACCGATACAATGAATATTTCCGATAATACAAATAATGTGGTAATAAGTGAACATGTTTTAAAGACGATTAAATTTCTATGAATTTTGTTTTGTGATGAAATCATATTTCGGAAGAGTTTTTTTGAATTTTTATAGGTTCAGTTTCCGTTTGCAGTTTCCGATAGATGAATCAGTGGCTCATTATGATGCGTTGAATCGGAAGTGAGCGCGATCATGAACGTTATCGGATCATTTCAATTGTTTAGAGTGCAAAACAGCGGTGGTGACGGGAATGGAGCGGCTGGTGCATTGGCCGCCGAATTGGAATCGACCGCCATAGGTTCCTCCCAGACTGATTCCTTGACAGTTGCACGCATTGATTTGCTCGGTCCGAGGAACGAAGCGAAGTCATCATCGCCCCAGAATGACTCTTGCTCAGTTTCATGCACTGAGCTGCCTGGTCCGAACAACGCAGCCATATCAGGATCGCCCCAAACTGATTCTTGGACAGTTTCATGCATTGAGCTGCCAGGAGGGAGATCCCCCCACACTGATTCTTTGACACTCGAACGGAATGTGCCGCCGGCTCCGGTGAACGAACTCGATTGCTCTTGAAAAGTGCCGTTTTGGAAAGTGGTTTGCTGAAATGTGAGACTGTGCAGTGTGCATTATTGAAATTCACCAAGCAACACTGTGGATTTGAATATCAATAGCTCATTTTAAGATTGCATACTTGCAGGCAGCCTTTGAGCAGTGAGTCAGAAAATAATGCAAAATTGTGCTGAAATTATTTCGGCACAATGTTTCAATGTGAGAAGCAATTTTATGAGCTGATTGATGCGTTTGCATACCAGAGGCGAACTGAATTTTGAACATGTCAAATACCAAATGAATGTTGAATGATTTCAAAACGTCAGGAAATTTAAATCATATTTGTTCGAAAAATACGAAACTCTAGCATTGCTTCAAAGATACCACACCAGTAGTGTGCGTTTTTGATAAGAGGTTCAACCCTTCTTGATGAGGCAATTAGAATTGAGACGAAGAAGCAGTTACTGAAGAAAGACATCATTAACGCTACCGAATTCCCTTTAGACTGGAGATTCATTAGCCAGGAATCCGTCGCTTTGTTGTATTCGTCCAGTACAGCCTGGTCCGCTGGCGTTAGTTCGCGAACGAACTGACCATTTCTGAGCAAGTTGCCATTCTGAAGAGCGCAATAAATTCACCTTTTTGATTCTATCGAATTCAAAAGATCAAAAGTTGATGCTAAGCAAATTTCATATGAAGAGCTCCAATAATAAATATAATGGATCATGTTTGATGTGTATTGCAATGTGATAGCCGAGCATGATCATACAGTGCCGTAATTCAATCATTTTGTTTGAAAATAAACTGCCTCTATCATATTCTCCCCAACTCAAATAAACCTATAAGCTCAACTAATCAAAAAAATACTTTGTAATGTGTTTTGGCTCATTGATAAGAATCAGATCATACGCAACTTCCTAAATCAAGTTCACGTAACTCCACTGACAGATCCTTCTTAACAACTGAACCGATTGTCTGAATCAAACGATAATCGGTGAAAAGCGCATTCTTGGTTCATTGCTCAGAATGGATGATGGATGCTATCGAATTTCAAGTGCAACTGATTGTAAATTTCACCTCGATAACGCATTTTTCAGCATAATTTCCACCGAAATTGCTGGTCGAAATAATTTGCACATTCGATGATGCTTTCAAACAGCGTGTCACAGTCGCAAAGCATATCGTTGTTGCTAGCATAAAGCTGGAATGGAACACATTGAGAAACTTTATCAAATTACATTGTTAGATTCATTTCAGTTTATGAAACTATTCGGTTAGAAATAATCGAGAATCCGTTAAAGACGTTTTATGTTAGATGAATAAAAATTTTCAGTTCATAAAACCAGTGGACATAACTCATAATTCGAAACCATTACGAAATATTGGTCAGATCAAATGTTCATAACAAATGTCAAACAATCATTGTTGGCCATCTCAAACAGCATGGTTCACTTCCAGTGATGTCAAAAATTTTTTGCAAAAATTTAAACCACATTAAGTTCATTAGGTTTTGCGACTAATCTAGTTTGAGAAAAATTTCGTGAATTTTAATGGTTCACTTGAGAGACATTCCGGGAAACTGAGACTTGAGATTTTGAAACTAAAGAATCAGT